ATCAAAATGTCGCGGGTTCGAGCCTTGGGTGGTGTACAATGTGAAGCTGGGTATGGCTGGCTGATGACGGCTAAGGAGCCAGAAATGGTCATTCATCTGACCGCACTACTAGCCGCTGTGTGGCAACTGGCGAGACTCGAGAATGAGCCCAAAAGCAGAGCGGGACGAGTGAGTTCCGTTAGCGATCGATGAAGGTTAATCAGGGAGTGTCGATATATCCCGAACTAAACTGGCAGGACAATGAGCCTGTGGCTCAGTTGTTAGAGCGTTGGACGTCTAAACAACGGGTCACGGCTTCGGGCTTCAGGGTTTGCAGAAGCGAAAGATACCCTTAGAGGACTGGCATACGCGAGGATCATGCTGCGCGACGATTATTATTGCAACCCCACTTAAGCAATATTTTCGAATCGAAGGCAGGAATTCCAGAATTTCAGTTAACCCCTCATGAGGCAGTCCATCTAGAGGACAGTAGTCTGAGAGAAAAGGAGGGAAAGGATGCAAGCTCTTATAGTCACTTGAGGATAACTAAGACTGGAACAACATTACGTGCATTGGCGGCATAAGTCGAAAGCGAAAAGGTTTCATAAGGTTTCCATGAAATAGCCAAGCTAACCAAATAAACACTGACCTACTGCGACCCATGTCGAAAATAACAAAATTTCCCCCGAAAACCTGTAACCATCGTGAGTTCCAAAGTCTGATTCTCTATCACATAACACAGATAGTCACCTAAAAGACCTAATGAGCCACTTGCTAGATTCGCTAGGCAACAAACATCTATCAACGTCTTGCCAGTAATAGTAGCTAGATTGCGGGAAAGGGTTTTATTCTACACAGGCGCAGTTGGAATTTAAAAGAATATCGAAAACAGGTTGCATGCAAAAAATGGATAAATCATTTATCAACACACACTTATTGGAGCAGATAGTGGTATGCTAACGTTTGGCGAAAAAATGGCAGCAGTTATGTTCACAAGTTGAAGACACGATATCACAAATCGCGAATGCCTAGGCGAAACTAACAGGTTAGTCACCAAATTCAACAGAGTATCAACCAAATTTATAAACACCAGAAGAAAGGCAGCCAGATATCGAACAAGCATCGGAACGCCCAAAGAAGAGGGATGAGTGTAACGGAAGCATGTGCGGCAGAATTAGGGGGGAAAACGTAGAGCCACCATGGCAAAAAAAAAGTATCTCGGTAAAAACGAATCTCGTGGAAAGAACGCCCCCGCGGGAAACGAATTCAAAGCAGTCCTGCGGCTATAGACACAAACGCGAGACCTTTACGCAGGTGTAGGTGTAGTCGCGACTGTGAATCATGATTCGGCAGGTCGAACAGTCTGCAGTTCTGTGCTAGCTGACGTAGTTTTCAACGGGGGGAGGGAGAGCACCAGGAGACAAAGTCCAACGGCCCCAGTGACGGAAATAAACTTTTTTTGTTCACGTACACAGTGACCCTCGCCGGAGCAAA